CTCAATATGGATCCATTTATAGGACATCCTCTAAAAAGCAAAACTGGAGTGACACAGGTCAGTGGTGGCAAGGGACTGGGGGTAAGGAGTGGGGATCAGCTGCAAAGGGGCACGAGGGAAATTTGGGAGTATGATGATTGTGGTGGCCGTTACACAATCATATACATTTGTGAAAAATCATCAAACTGTGCGATTAAATGGATGAATTTTATTGTATGTAAATTAAACCTCATTAAAGATGGAGGAAGAGGAGGGAAGCCCATTCAATGAAGGAAAAACCCTAAGCAGTCAGGCTTTTACTGCCACATTACAGATAAGGACACTGAGGCTCAGAGGGTGACTTGATGGGCCCAAGGTCAGGGAGGAAGCCCATGGTGGAAGAGATGTTTGGCTGCTCCAAGGCCTGTGCGCTCACCCTCCGGATTCTTGCTCTGCATTTGCTGTGTGACTGCAGGCGCTCTCAGTTGCCCATTCTGTACAATAGGTGGAGATGAACAAGACCCAGGCTCTCCCAGCCAATGGGGCAGGCAACCCCACACCAACATAATGGTGATACTCAGAAGGGCTGCCGGACCCAAGGGGTGGTGCTTGACCCAACCTGGACTGGGATGGGGGAAAGCCTCTCAGAGTGGGGGATATTTGACCTGGGCTTTAAAGGATGAATAGGAATTTGCCAACAGGAATGTGGAAAAAGGATATTCCAGATAAGAGATGACAATGTCCCATATATCTTCCCAGTTGCACTACCTCTTGCTCCCTGGAATTCTGCTACAAGTATGCCATTCCTCAGGCCCAGAGTCTGGCTTGTGGCACTCTGACAGGAGAGGACACACAGACACCCATGGTGAGGCTGGAGGAGAACAGCAGTGAGATAGGTCTGGGACAGGGGCAGCAGCTGGAGATTCTGAGATTTCAGGGACTTCAGGGACAGAGGGGCATGTGACGGGATCCCCTGCATGCAGGGCAGCAGGGCAGGAGCCTTCTTCTGGGTCACCTCATTCATTAGCTCCTCAGCCCCAAAGCAGCTCAGAGAGGTCAGGTAAGTCCCTCTTCTTCCTCCGCTCCCCTCCTGGTGCCCACTCCACATAGTGGACAGAGGGGTCCTCAAAACCGCAGTTAGAAGGGGCATGGGGACCTAGGGGTATCAAACTGGTTTAGAGCTTGGTAGTGGGAGAGGTTACATAACCAGATACGTTTGTTAAAACCTGTGGAACATGACAAAACTTTCAGGGGGATGTGTTAACCGCTACCTTCAATTTTTTAAAATGAAAAAAATAAAAAATAAAACCCTCAGCTATGATACAGGTACATGGGACTTCATTGCACTGTTGTGTCTGTTTACATGTATGTTTAAAATTTTCCAAAATTAAGAAAAAAAAACTAAGACCAGGCCCCCGAAACTCTTCTGTGGCTCCCTCCCAGCCCAGAGAGAAAGCCAAAGTCCCCTCAATGTGCCCCCAGGGCCTCTGGCCTTGGTCTCCCCCGCTCCCCACAAGCCACACGGGCCTCCCTGTGGTCTTTACATACCCCAGAGCCTTTGCACTGGCTGTTCTTTCTGCCTGGATTGCTCCTCCCTCACCTCTCCTGACCCACCCTTCTCCTCCTTCAGGTTTTCCATAAAAAGACCCACAGCAGCTGTGGACCACCCTGTTTGAAACCTCCTCTAGGAGCACATCCCTCTCCTCCCAGCTGACTCTCCCTCCAGGTGCTTATTGCCATCTGATGCCCCAAGCATTTATTTCCTTCTTTGCTTTCGTCTTTCCCTCAAGTAGAACATTAGCTCCTGAAGGGCAGGGAGGTGGAGGTCTGTTATGTTCATAGCTGTGTCTTCTTAGAACAGTACCTGAAACATAATACGTGCTCAATATTTGCTAAGTGAATTAGCAACTGACTGAATAAATGATATCCAAATCCATGACCTGGTCTCCATGTGACTCCAACAGGCCCCACCAATGTTCAGCAACCCCTCCCCAAGGTCTCCTCCACGACCAGCGCTGGGGGCCACAGACAGAGCAAATCCACTCAAATGTTAATTGCTCACTTTATTCTTTTATTTATCTTTGTTCTAGAAAGTATTTCTGCAAGGTTTAAAAACCCCAACAAGCTACAGATATTTATTTATTTATTTTTATTTATTTATTTTTTTGAGACAGAGTCTCACTCTGTTGCCTGGGCTAGAGTGCCATGGCATCAGCCTAGCTCACAGCAACCTCAAACTCCTGGGCTCAAGCAATCCTTCTGCCTCAGCCTCCCAAGTAGCTGGGACTACAGGCATGCGCCACCATGCCCGGCTAATTTTTTCTATATATATTTTTAGTTGTCCAGCTAATTGCTTTCTATTTTTTAGTAGAGACAGGGTCTCGTTCTTGCTCAGGCTGGTCTCGAACTCCTGAGCTCAAACAATCCACCTGCTTCAGCTTCCCAGATAAAGACATTTAAAAGCAGAGGATGGTGTGGTATTTCATGCCTGTACATCCCAGAACTTTGGGAGGCTGAAGCAGGAGGATCACTTGAGGCCAAGAGCCCAAACCAACCTGGGCAACGTAACAAGATCCTGTCTCTACCAAAAACAATTAGCTGGGTGTGGTGGCACATGCCTATAGTCCCAGCTACTCAGGAGGCTGAGGCAGGAGGATCACTTGAGCTCAACAGTTCAAGGTTGCAGTGAGCTATGATTGTACCACTACACTACAGTCTGGGTGACAGAACAAGACCCTGTCTCAAAATACAAAACAAACACACACACACAAACACAAAAGCAAGGGAGAAAGGAAGATCCAGGATCTTATCTGGGCCTGATGTGTGCTGGGTGCTGCCAGGGACTCATTAGAGAGGAAGCTCCCCTGGACCCAGGCTGGCTGGGGGACAGATACTAAATAAATAAGTGTGATTGCAGACATGAGGGCTTCCCAGAGGAGGGGATGTTTGGGCAATAGCATGTGCATAGGCCCAGAGGTGGGAAATGGCATGGCCTATTCATGAAATTTCCAGGAACATGTTCTGGCCTCTGTGCTTTGGAGACAGAGAAGTCACCTGAGATACACACAAGATCACGTCTTGCTTGCTCAGGATTATAGCCAGACGTGACTCAGCTGAAGTCGAGGCTCTCTTTGACCCCAGAATTGCTTTCTGTCTCCTTGTATATAATGACTCACTCACCAGCCTTGTTTTGTTTACAACTCCTTGATACAAGACACACTTGTTAAAAAGAATAATAATCTGGTAGGAGAGGATATTCTCAGTAAATATATCTGACAAAGGACTCATAACCAAACAAAAAGAATTCTAATGGATACAAAGAAAAAAATTAAAAAATTAATGGGCACAAAAACAGGCAGGAGTGTTTGCAAAAGTGAATATCCAAGTGGCCAAGGAGCATATAAAAAGAGGCTCAACGTTACCAGTCATCAGGCCAACGCCAATTAAAGCCACAGTGAGACACCTTTCACGTTCATCAGAATGGCTAAAATTAAAAAGACTGAACACTGAACCATACTCTCCAAATTATAGGCAGGAGTGTAAGATAGTACAACCACTTTGGGGAAAGATCTGGGCAGTTTCTCACAAAACTAAACACACACGGACTACAAGATCCAGCAGTCCATCCCTGGTAACTACCCAAGAGGAATGCCACAGTGCAGACACTGAAAGACACAACCAAGAATGCCCGCAGCAGACTTATTCACAGTAGTTCCAAACCAAAGACAGCCCAAATGCCCAACAACAGGTGAATGGATAAATAAATCGCGATACATGCACACAGTGGAATAAATTACTTAGTGATGAAAAAGACACAAGCAATAGACAGCACGGAGCAAAAGAAATGACACCAAAAAGTACATACTGTATGATAGCATTTATACGACCTTCTAGAAAAACCCAGTTAGTCAATATGCTACAAGTCAGGGATAGTGGTTGCCCCAAAGGGTGGGGCCCTGATGGGAAGAGGGCCCTAAGGTCCTGTATCTCGATTTGCTTGGTGGTCAAATGGGTGTGAACAGCAAGTTTACACGATAATTAACAAAATATTAAAAGTAACCTGTAGTCATGTGATTCAGTGCGCAGCTATGGGCAGCGGACGCGGGAGCGCAGCTTCAGGTGACCAAGAAGGAAGACTTTGGATAGGAGGTTGAGCTTTGTGAGGGAGTGAGGGGGAACTTAGTTAAGTCCCCTTTCAAAGAAGAAGTCTGGGCCCCAAGAATCCTGTGTGTCCTCAGCAAGTCCCTGCCCCTTTCTGGGACTCAGCCTCCCCATCTGCGGAGTGGGTCCGCAGGGTCTCATCCCGCACTTCTGCCTCTCTTTGGGAAAGGTGGCAGTTCACCCCTATCCCAAACAAGTGTCGGGATAACTCCTGATTGGCAGCGGCTGCCCACCCGGCAGGGCCGCAGTGCACGCGGGAGAGGAGCAGTGCGCACAGGCGGGCGCGCTCCGCAGCACCACCCCCTCGGGGGCCCAGCTGCGTGTGACCTCACGCCTGTCTTTCAACTGCCCCGGGCCTCTATTTGCTCATCTGTAAATGGAGGCAAGCATACCTATTTCTCAGGGCTGTGAGACAATTTTCACAAAGCGCAGCGAGCCCTTACTGAGCGCTTCCGGAGCACCAGGGCTCCGCTGCGCACAGGCCGTGCACACAGCCAAGTGCTTAGTAAGTGGCGGCTACCTTGGGGACGATGAGAATTTCCATACGATTCGTTACATCTTTTTCAGAAGGGTCCGAGTGGAGGCCCCAGAGTTGCATGTGGGACAAACGCAAGAGGCCAGAGCGGCGGCGCGGAGGCTGCGAGTGGGCCGCGGCGGCGAGGGCGGCCCCTTTAAGAGTCGACAGGAATGTATCAAAACAGAAAGGCCGCGCGCCCACTGGCCGAGCGCCGCACGTGACCTCACAGCTGATTTCCTGCCCCCCTTTTTTGTTGCTGCTGCTGCTGCCGCCGAGTGTCAGTGTCGGCGCCGCCGCCCGCGGTCCCTCAGCCTGGGCCCCGCCGCCCCGCGCCCGGGTCCGAGCGGCCGCAGCCCGGCGCGGATGGCGCACTCGGCCGCGGTGCCGCCGGGCGCGCTGGAGCAGGGCTGCCCCATCCGCGTGGAGCACGACCGCCGGCGCCGCCAGTTCACCGTCCGGCTCAACGGTAACGCGGCGCCCGCCCGCCCCCGCCTTTTGTTTGCGAGCGAGCCGGGCCCGCCGCGCCGCCCCCGGCTGGGACGCTGCCCCGCGCGCTCCGGCGCCCCTGGGAGGGTGTCGCGAGCGCGCCGCGGGAGGGCCTCGGGCGGGCGGGGCGGGACCGGCAGAGGCAGGAGCCGCAGGGGACCCGCACCTGCTCGCGCGGCCGTTTCCGGTGTCGGGCGCCCTCCGGGGGCCGCTGTCTGCGACCCTGGAGAGCCGGTCAGCCGGACCCCGGGCACCTTGGTTTTTCTGCCCGGGGAGGTGGGAGGAATACCCGCTGCAGACCTGCGGCCGTCAGCGAGAGGGGCTTGTGCCCCGTGGCGGGGCGGGGGTGCCGTGGGTGAGTATCACCATCAGACCCCAGCTGCTCTGAGGCTGGCCGGTTTCCCTCACCTGTGTGCCTCATTTCTCCATCTCTGCACTGGGCTTACCAGCAGCGCATGCCGCCTCGGCTAGTTGTGCGGGTGAAAGGCTGTAATAAATGGGAGGGATTGGAACAGCTCCCACGGCGCATAGTGAGTGCTGATAAATATGAACTGATCTTTACTTTTAAAACCAGAAAGCAAGCTCAAGTCCTCCTTTCCTGTAAAGTTTTGACTAGCCCACCTCCCTTAAGAGGTCTGAGGGGTAGGAACTAGAATTGTGAAATCTAGGACCGTGAACCCCCTCCCAGCTGGGCCCCCTGTGTGGATGTCCAAACTGGAATGGCCCTTAGAGGCCACTGTGCAGGGAGCGTGAGCTGGAGCAGAGCGGGAAGGCAGCTGCCTGGTCCGACTCCGTACATGGGGCTCTTGCAACCCAAACTGGGCTGCAGCCAGGAGGGGCCCAGGTTGGACGTTTCTCAGATGCAGTTGGGCTGTGCTGGACGTTGGGCCAGACCCCACGCATCCAGCCTTGTGGATGTGATTGTCACAACATCCCAGTGACATTGGGACACAGCAGTACACGTTGCAGATGAGTAAACTGAGGCTAGGACCACAGGAAGTGACTGAGAACCTCACCAGCACTCCAGCCTGGGCCAGGCTGGCCCTACACCACATTTCTTCCCACATAGAAGCAGGTCCTTCCGCTGCTGTGGCGCCGGCGGTGGCCCAGCTGGCCGTACTGCTTGGGGCCCTGGCCACTCTCGAGGGAGAGGCCTTGTGGCTTTTCAGATCCTCTTTTCTGAGGTTCCAGAGTGGTCTCTGGTTCCCTTGGGGACTCAGGAGGCCCATTTGACTCAGAGAGAGAAAGAAAAAGGAAACATTGGGTATTTTTTTCTTTCTCTTTGGAATGGATACAGCCAAAAGACAAACCTCCTGGTCAAGGCCAGATGTGCCCAGCCATATTTCTAAACTTGCTCTCCAAGCTACCGCATGGGTGGCTGTCTACAAACCCAGGCCCAGGGAAGAAGAAGGCGTCTGGAGGCCCCAAGGGCCGGGGTGCACAGTACAAAGTGGGCCTCCTCTGGGCTCCCAGGCTGCGCAGGGTCTGAGTGTGTCTAGGGACCAGGGAGGGATGGTGTGTGTCTGGGCCCAGGCTGAGCTGGGATGGGAGAGCCTGTGCATCTCCTGACCTGTAAGGCAAGCCTGGAGATGGTGCCACTGTGCCCACTGATAGGAGTAGACACTGAGGCTGAGCGGTCAGGCAGCCCAGGCTCCTGGTGCAGGAGCACAGGGCTGCCATCAGCTGGCTCCCAGTGCAGGCGTGTGCCCGGACTGTCCCCATGGCAGAGCTAGGCTGACTGTCTTCCTGCAAGCTCTGTTTCTGAGTGAGGGAAGAAGTTTGAGCAGCTGTGTTTATTAAGCACTTGTATTCTAGAAGCCCCATTATGTGGAGTCACTCTTATAGCCATGCTAGATAGAGACATGGGAAACTGCTCTTCCCATTTACAAATGAAGAGACTGAGATACTAAGAAGTGAAATGACTCACCCGAGGTCTTGTACTGCAGAGGCGGAGGAGCTGGGGTTTATTCCCCAGTACTTAATTGAGCACTTACTACGTGCCAAGCACTATTCTCAGTGCTAGGGTCTCGTGGGGCTGACAGCCTAGAGGGGGAATGGATGAGAAATAGCAAAGGCTGTAAAGGGCTCTGGCCAGAGTTGAGGCAGGGCGGCGCTGGAGGGTGTCAGGCCAGGCTGCCATTTAGAATCAGGTGTCCAGGGAGGCCCCTCCCCAGGAGGTGATGTTTAAGCAAAGACGTGAAGGAGGCAAGAAACAAGTACCACAGGGGAGAGTGTGCCAAGTGGAGGGAACAGCAAGAGCAGCACTGCAGCACTCGGTGTGTGTAGGACGAGGCCGTCCGGGCTCTGAGCGAGGAGTCCTGCGCAGAGGACAGACGGGATGGCCCAGGCTCCCTCTGGCTACTCTGAGGGGTGCAGACTGTACGGCCAGGACAGAGCAGGGAGGCGGCTGCCATTCTGGTCCAGGCAGTGCACGCAGCTGCGGGGAGGAGCTTCCAGGTCGCGGACAGATGTGGAAGGAAGTATGGATAGGACTTGCTGGTATGGGGCGTTGTGTGAAAAAGGTTTATCAGACCCCAAATCCAGGTTCCGAAACTTGAGCTTGTCGCTATTTTATAGGTGGGGAAACTAAGGCACACAGCCAGTAGGCAGGTAAGCCAGAATGGAGCCCCCAGCCTCCATCTGATGGTGGGCACCTAAAGGTTGGGGGAAGCTGGAAGACACCCTGGTATCCTGAGCAGCCCCTTCCTTGGCCTTCCCTCTCCAGTCCCCGCAGCCAGAGCCAAGTGTCCCGCTTGTTACAAGGGGAAGGGTCACTCAGGAGTCCCAGATTCCTGGAACTTTCTGCATTGTCCTCAGCCCCCATTTTGCAGACAGGAAGACCGAGGCCCCGAGAGGCAGTAGCTGCCTCCACAGCACCCCTGGAGGCAGCAGGGCTGAGTGCAGCCCCACCGGGAGGCCCTGCTGTGTCTGGCTGGGCCAGACCAGGGTCCTGTGCAGAGGGAAAGGGACCTATTGTTGAGCTTCTCCAGGCTCCAGCCCCTCTGCCTCCCCCACCTCTGAACCACCAACATGTGGCCCCTCCCCAAACCGGGCTCTGCTCCTGGAATCGCCTGGAAAACCCGGCCCCCGGGGCATCAGTGCCCGTCCTGTTGCTCTGCTCCCACTCGTGCAGCACCTCCCAGGCCCTGGGTTCTGGCTTCACCACTGCCTCAGTCTCCTCATCTGTGCAGGGGGCCTCCTCTCGGGTCCACTCAGCAGAGCAGAGGAGGTGGAGGCCAACACTTTGTAAAGACTCCTTGTCTCCCAAAACCCCTGTTCCCCATCCCCACCTGCAGGGTTTTTGCCTTTCTCCGTGACATCCCCCTGACAACTTGCAGGGGCCCTTTCCTCCACCTTTGGGGAGGGTGGAGTGACCCAGGGAAGGGGCCCCCATTAGCAAAGTAGCTTTAACCTTTATTGAAACTAGTCATAGTCCATGATCTCCATGTGATTCTCAGACCTGGGAAAAGGGGTAGCAACTATCCCAGGACAAAGTTTCTGGGCCACAGAGGTGTTGGGTCTGGGCTGAGATCACCTGGCAGAGGTGAGACTCGAACCCAGGGCCCTGCCAGGCCACGAGGCTGTGACTGTGCCTTTCTAAGCTGAGACAGTAGCATCCATGGGCCCAGCTGCCCAGATGTGGCCGCAGTGCCCAGAGGTGAGAGAGTGGCCGTCCCATCATGGGGGTGACGGGTGGTCAGGGGAGCCTCTAGGGAGGTGCATTTGGGCTCTCTGGGAGTGATAAGGGGGCCCCCGGGAGGCTTTGAGTGGAGAGGGGGCCCACAGAGATGCTCCATGGCTGCTGCAGGGCGGGCACTGTGAGCAGCGAGTCGTGCCCACGGAGAGGGTTGCCATGTGCAGAGCGGGGCAGGGGCCTGCCCCCAGATGGGTCCTCCCAGGCAGGAGCCATAGTGTCCCATCCTGCCGTCCCCTGGGGTGTGGCTCTGGGAGGGCTATCGTGCTGGCGGCCCCCAAGTCTGCCTAGAGACTCCAATATATGTCTGGCAGTTGTTAGTTGAACAAATACTTCTTGGGTGTCTACCCTGGGCTGGGTGCTGGGATTACACTGGTGACTGAGTCCTTGTGACCGCCGGTGGCCACTGGTAGGGAAGGCACAGAATTTCTGAGGGTCAGGTCCACCCACAGCCCAAGCGGCCACCCCAGGAACGTGGGTTGAGGGATGAGTGAAGGATGAGAAGGGGACACCGGCAAGCTTTCGAGGGCTGGATGTTCCGCCACCCCCGGCTCTGCAGAGACTGCTGCGGCAGTAGCTGAGTCTTCTCCGTGGCCTTCGAGGCCCTGCCAGTCTGGCTCTGGGACCCCCAGCTTGGCTTCCTGCTCTCCCCTGGACCCTTGCAGGCCCAGCTTCTCTGGCCTTCTTGCAGTTCCTCAGACGTCCTACCCCAGGGCCTTCACGTGTGCCATCCTCGCCACTTGGCCTGGTCATGCCCAGATCTCCGGGGTCCCTCACTCCTTCAGGTCTTTGCCCAGGGAGGCCTCCCTGTGCACCGTCCTTACGGTGGCAGCCCGCCCCACACCCAGCCCTTCCCTGCTGCGTGGTCTCCTTAGCTCACATCAGCTCATCACCTGCAAGCCCTGCATTAGTCATAACAATCCTACTTCTGGCTTGTCTCCCCCACTGTACCAGACTCTCCGCAGGGAGGGCCCTGGCAGTTTTGCTTACTGCTGCCTGCCCTGCCTGCATGTGGTGGGCCCACAGCGGGTTGGGGTAATTAAATGGCCAGGCAGACAGTTTCCTCAGTGACCAGGTCAGTCCCAGAATAGCCTCCTGATCTCTGCCTGCCTGTCCTGGGTGAGCTGAATGAGCCCCACAGGCGTGGAGCTGAGAACCAGATCCCTTGCTGTGCAGCTGGGGCAGGTAGCAGCAGAGGCCACAGCTGGGTTTCGGCCACAGCAAGGTGCCAGTGCGAGGGGCCTGGAGGCCTGGGGAGGAGGTGGGGCTGGGGCCACCCTCCGCCGGGCCCAGCAGAAAAGGGGAAAGGGCATTTCAGGCAGAAGGAATGGCCCAGGCAAAGGCCAGGGGCAGGAAGTAGAGGGCATGCCATGGTGGGGCAGAGAACAGACTTGGCTCAGGGGCTGGACACCTGTGTGCCAGCCTCACTGCGGACCTCTGTGTGACCTGGATCTCTGGGTCGTGTTTCCTTGTTTGGAAATGGGGAGATGAACTGTAGCCTATCTCCTGGAGCTTTGCGGGGACTCACGAGAGACCCCGAGGACCAGAAAGGTTCCTAGTTGGGTTTGGACCTAGTTCCGGTATCTGCTTTCCTTGGTGACCTTGGACTGGTCATTTGGTCCCTTGGCCTGTCAGCCTTCCCCTTGTGGTGCCCAGCACAGGCTGGGAGCCCAGGCAATATTTAGGAGCAAGTTCTCTGATGCGTTAAAGTTAAAACATATAATGGGATGTACTTTAAAAAGTAAAGAGAGCCACTTGGCATCGAGGTGTTTCTTTTACAGCCAGTGAACGGTGTCTTCCCACCTCCGGGGCCTTTGCACCAGCTGTGCCCCTGCCCTTTCTTCCCTTCCCTGCGCTTCCCAAACCTGCTTCCTGCTCCTCGCTCCCCTTCCAGCCAGAGGCTTCCCCCGGGGCTCCTCATGCAGTCCTGACAGCTCTACCCTCCTGACCGCTGGTTTATTTCCTTCATCCACCTGCCACTCCCTGAAATTGGATGCCCTGGAGTTGTCCTCTTCTTTCTCTCATTGACCACATCCAAGCCATCAGCAAGTCCCGCTGGCTACGCCTTCAGAACCCCTCAGAGTGGGACCCTCCTCATGCCCCGACAGCCCACCCTGCACCCCGTGCAGCCGAAGGGATCCTCTGCAGTAACGAGTCACATGCCATCCCTTTGCCGAGGACCCTCCCTCAGCGCCCAGCTCACGCTGGCGTCGGAGGCTCTGTGGGACCTGTCCCCTTCGCCTCCCTGCCCTCATCTCCACCCCTCACCCACTGCACTCCAGCCCCCTGCCCTCCTTGCTGCCCTCATACAGGCCCACTCCTGCCTCAGAGCCTTTGTACTGGCTGTTCCCTTTGCCTAGAACACTGTTCCCCAGATATCACATGGCTGACTCCCTCCCTGTCCTCCCTCCTGCCTCTGTCCCACACCCAGCATTCCCCACACCCCTTCCCCATCCCCTGACATGCCACCCATTCAATTCCTTCCCACGTTTCTTGTCTGCCTCCCTTCTCGTCAGTTTCATGAGGCAGGACCTCCTCTGGCTTGTTGGCTGCTGTGTCCCCAGCACCTGGAACAGTGCCGGGGCTCAGTGAGCATTTGTGGGATGGATGGGTGGGTGGATGGCTGGACGGATGGATACATGAGCAGGTGGACAGACAGATAGACAGATGGAGCATTTCAAACTGTGTCGGAAGAATTATTTGTCCGACAGGAGTGTGGGTGGACTGGTGAGCCCCTGTCCTGGCAGGCCCAGGAGGGTGTGCAGACCCATGTGTTCCTGCCTCCCGTGCCCCGCGTCAGTTTCTTAGGGACTCTGGTTGCAAAGTCCTCTGACCCTCCACCCCATGCCAGAGTTAACAGAAGGTCCTGACCCACACCTGGTAGCGCCATCGCTGGTCTCCTCGTGCTCTGCTGTGGTTGTGGATTTGCCGGGCCCTGCTCTTGTCCAGTACTGGGTCCTGGGACTCCCAGACGCTGGGAAGGACTCAGGTAGGCGCAGAGAGCAGGGTGCAGAGGGGTGGTGGGGCCCTGTGTTCTAGGCACTGCTCTGAGTGTCTCATTTAATCCTCCACACACCCCTATGAGGAGCAGTTTGTTATGTCCACACTTTACAGATGAGGAAACTAAGGCACAGAGAGGTTATTCAGGATTCAGCTCCAGCAGTTGAACAGCTCCACATGCCTGTCCCTCCTCCCCAAACTCTGTGCCTGGGTCCACTGGGCCCCTGGGGGACTGTATACCTGGGCCGGCCAGGCCCCCTCAGGCCCCTGGAGTCTCCATGGGCTCACCTGTCTCCACAACCCCCCTAGGATGTCACGACCGGGCTGTCCTGCTCTATGAGTACGTGGGCAAGCGGATTGTGGACCTGCAGCACACTGAGGTCCCTGACGCCTACCGCGGGCGCGGCATCGCCAAGCACCTTGCCAAGGTAGGGTGGCGGTGGGTGGGGACGTGGGGGCCACCACCTCCCAGTCTGAGCAGACAGTAGCTCCAGTGGCTGACTCTGGCCTGCTTCTTGGCCTCGACTCCTCTCGGGGCTGGTGGCAGCCTTTCTGGGCCCTTCTGGGCTCAGGCTCCTGTTCTGCAGGGCCCTGGTGTGGCTAAGCCACCAGGGTCCCCGCACACCTCCTGTGTGTCAGTGCCTGATTCTGTCCCAGGGCCCTGGTGCTTAATGCATAATAGGTGCTCAGTGAATGGAACAAATGGAAATGTTCGAGTGCATTGGCTTGTGCCCTATTCCCACCCCTCAGCCCCTTCATCCCACAGCATCTCAAACCCAGGCTGCCTGCAGAGCAGGCTTGGGCTTAATGAAGGATCACAGCTGCAGCAAACAGTGGCCTTCAGTGCCCCGGGCCCTGCTCCTGGGGCTCAGCCAGGCCCTCTGCTGGCTTCCCCGCCCACCCACCTCTGTTCCACGGGGGGCACGGGTGCTGTACCTGCCTTGGCAGAAGGGATGTGTCTTGTCATTTTGTACAGGACCAGCCTGTGAGCTGGTCTGCGGAGGTTACCAAGGAGGAAACCCAGCGGGTCACTGACCTGGGCAAGGTGGGAGGGTGAGGGGAGCCTGGGGGCTGCGGAGGAAGCCCATGGGACCACTTTCTTGGGCTGGGCGGCCATGGGCCCTGGTGTGGCCACGGTGCAGGCTTCAGGCCCTGACGACTGCTCTCCTCTCTGCCCTGGCTCCCAGGCCGCCCTGGACTTTGTGGTGGAGGAGGACCTGAAGGCCCACCTCACGTGCTGGTACATCCAGAAGTACGTCAAGGAGAACCCCCTGCCACAGTACCTGGAGCGGCTGCAGCCGTGACCCCGCTGACGGGCGTGAGCACTCCCTGCAGGACCCTTCCACATGCCCTTGCCTGGCCCTGCCTGCTCTCAGGAGCCTGGACCCACTGGGAACAGACTCAGAGTGATTTTTATAAGGATGCTCATCTGGCCCCATGTCCAGACCCCTGGAGGCGGCTGGCTGAGGATGGGCGGCAACCCAGTAACAGGGGAGGCCGGGCGGTCCCGACAGCTCCCACTCTGCAGAGGCCTTCTGTGGGCAGGATGGAGGGCCCAGGCCAGTCTGGTCCTGCCTGCTGTTCCCTGCCCAGCAATCAGCATGAGGGCCGAAGTGGGACCCCTGCCACCACCTCTCTTGGGCCTGTGTCCTTTCTGCAAATGAAAAGGGTGTTCCCCAGAGCCAAGAGGAGCAATAAGAAACCTCTTGTGCCAACATCCGAGGGTGGCAGCGCCAAGCCTTGCCTGCCACCTATGCTTCCGTCCTCCGTCTCAGACTTCTGTGCCTGGGCGGGAGCCACAGCAAGGGGCGGGAGAGCTGAGAAGCACGGTGGACTTAGCATGGCCCAGGCTCTATTGTACCCACACATGTGTGAACACACATGAACATATGCACACGGGATATGGCATGTGGGCAGGCTGGGGGGGCACGGTGCTGGTTTTCCTCTCCTTGGTACCCTCATCTTTTGGTGGCCTCTTTTGCGTCACTCTGCAGGAAACCGAGTCCATCCCATGGGCTGCTCTCCCTGTGCCCCCTCTGCCAGGTGCAGCTCTGAGACCAACCATGAAGCCGAGAGGACGCCTTGGAGTTGGAGTGGGAGGGAGGTGGGCTGTCTTCACAGAGCCGCCCTCGTCACCCAAGAGGAAGGAACATTTCAGGCCGAGGGGTTTCCTTTGCTGCCACTAGATATCAGAGTGTCCTCTTTGCGCTTTGCTGCCTGTCGGTCCTGGGGCTTTTGCCCAGACCAGCCTTCCTGGTTACCACCTGGGAGATGCCCCAGAATGCTTTGTGTCTCTGGGAGCAGCCTGTCTGGGGCCCTGCAGCTGCCCCCTGAGGGTTAGTTTGGGCTCAGGGTCTTGACCTCTTGTGCCCCACTCCCCACAAGGGTCAGATTTGTTCCTGTTCCCCTGTGGCACTGGAGGGTGACCACATTGACACCAAATCCCTTGGGGATGGTGTGTCCCCTCCAGGCCTCTGGGGGTGTCTGAGGCTGGGTTCCGGGTGGTACAGGGAGAGGCTGACCGGGCCCCCCGTCTTCCTCTTCTAGTGCAGGGGCTCAGGGAGGGGTGGGTGCTGGGGGCCCTCGGTGCTGTGGGGGCCCCTCGCTTTACCTGACTTCCTGAAGCAGGCGCTGTCGTGGCCTATGCTTGCGTTTTCCACTCACCTCTACGCTGCCCCCAGTCTTGGCACCGGGACCCCCCTTCTCTCTTTCCTCGGCCACATCAGCTCAGGGGCCCATCCCAGATACTGTGCACAGAGCCTTCCCACCCCGCCGCAGGACCAGCAAGATCTGCGTGTGCGAGGCCTGACAGCCTGTCCGTGGGCGTCCCAGAGCCCCCGCTGTGTGAGTCACAGCCATGGACCAGCAGCGGTTACATCCTAAGCACCCCACCACATCCCAGCCCCTCACATCATGCCAGATGCTTCTGCTCTGACCTCCAGGAATTCTTGGGAGCCGAGACCATCTTCCTCAACTCTGTCTGCAAAGGGCTGGGGTGCACAGATGGGCGAGGGCCTCCTCCTCATCTGCACATCCCTCCCCAAGTTCAAGCACATACTCTGTCATGACTCCCACTGGCTCAGTGGGCTGGGGCTATGTCCCTCCATGGCCTGCAGGCTGAGGTGGCCCAGTGCCTTCCCAGCATCCCCACAGGAGGCCCCAGAGGGCTAGCAGGGACCTTGAGGAGCAGAAAGAGCCAGGCGCACCAGGAGGGAGTGAGCCTGTTCCCACTGTGTCCCTGCCTGAACTCAAGATTCTGAGCGCTGTGCTCTAACAGGTGACTTGTCCACCAGACGGCTCATAAAACTCTTAGTACTTGAACCAGGAGACGTGGGGTTTGGAGGCCTGTGCAGGCCCAGGGTCCAGCTGGGACTTTCTCAGTAGGCTTGGCCTGAGCTCTGCAGGTGTGACCTGGGCGGCCTTAAAGTGCCACTGGCCCCGCTCCAGGGGGCTCGGCAGGGCTGTGCGGGGCCTGGCCCATGGTCCCCAGCAGAGCCTCAGCAATAACTACATCTCCCCAGGCCAGGGGGCTCTGGATCCCCCACAGACACCCTGCCCTGGAGCTCCCAGCTCAGCCTTCGGCCAACACAGCCTGTCCTCTGGTGCTACCCCGTTTGCCTGGGGACCCAGCCTCACCCTTGCTCTGTCCTAAAGCTCTGGGATCCCCTGCTTGGGAGGCTGGTTGCTCAGGGCCAGTTCATGCAACTTGGTGAGACCCAGACCGTGCAGGCCAGGCAGACGGACGCTCGCTGGTGGGGGTGGGGAGGGGGCGGCTCCTCCAGCAGGCTTCCTGCTGTCCTACGGCCTCCGGGTGGGTTTCTCTTTCTTGCCCGGTCAAAATAGGTGGAAACTCATGTGCCTTTCCCACTCAGGACCTGTTACGGGTGGTGTCCAGGCCGAGGCTGGTCTCTAGACTGGCTCCCTTTGTTACTTTCCAAACTTCTGAACAGACTGCACAACTTACATTTCAATAAAAGATGTGGCCTAGTGCGGCGGCCCAGGACTCTTCCGGAAGACACACGCGGGCTGCCGGCTGTCTGGCTTTGTCCCCACAGCGATTGATTGTCAGCCCTCCATTTAACTGGCGAGGAGGCTGGAGAGCCCCTGGTGTCCCACAGCCCCGCTGTTCTGTGAGGAGGGCAGGGCTCTGAGCAGCACCAGGCCTGCCTGAGGTCTCCCCAGAGGACAGTGGTGGCGGCAGGATGCCCGCCCCAGTCTGGGTGACTTTGCTGGCTGTTCCTTCCGGGCTGGCCTGGGCCCCACACCACAGTTCCCACCTCCTCCTGGGGCCAAGGCCCCCCTGGGCCACAGCCCAGCTCTGGGGCGTCTCCCTCTTCCATGGAGCAGCTTTGTGGGCTTCCTGGGAACAGGCTGTGACAACAGGCCAGCACTGCTCTCAGCTGTGAGCTCTGGTGTACCCTAAGAAGTCTCTCTGTTTGGGATATCTGGTCCAGTGCAGGGAGGCGGGCCCAGCATCATGTTCACACAGGCACATCAGGGGAAGCAGTGGCTCCTGTCCCTAGAACAGGAGAGTCCCGAGCCAGGCCAGGCCTCACCTCATCCTATTCTGCGCTGGCTGCCCAGGGAGGAGCTGACTCCTGAAGGGAGATTTCCTTCCTGCCACCTGCTCAGGGGTTCCACACAGCAACTGCTGAGCCCTTCACACACCTGCGCCCGGTTCTCAGTAGTGCCCGGAGGTGCCTCTTTGACAGATACGAGAGTGAGACCGAGGCTTGGAGCGGGCAGTCACGAGCCTGCAGCCCACACAGCCAGAGGGGACCAGGTTTCAAACCCAGTTCCCATCCCCTCTAGATGACGGTGTCGAGCCTGTGTCGTGAGGTCTTATGTCTACTTTAGGTGACAGATGGCCTCAGAAGGCAATAAACAGATACAACTCCCAACAACTTCTCTGCTCATCTGGAGAGCTGAGATGGGGTTCTGCCTGCAGCCTGCAGGAGCACGGGCCTGCGTGGGGAGGCGGGACTGAGGCTGGGGGTGTGAGCAGGAACCTCAGGGGAGCCCCTGACTGTGTGCCCACACTGTTCTTCCCCAGTTCAGGGTTCTCAGATTGGTCCAAGACCACGTAAACATCCCTTTGCTTTCTCAGGGTACCATTCCCAGACTGATGTCCTAAATTTCACATAAGAGATCCGGCAAGGCTGTGAATCCAACTTGGGCTGTGACTGCATCCTGCAGGGGCACATTTGGGGCTATGTTTGCAGTTGTAACAGTCATGGCTACAAGATATTAAAGAGATTCTTTTCTGGTTACAAAGATGCTGTCTGGTTTTCTATCCATGCCTTGAGCTGAATTTGTTCCTTTCTGCTGATTCTCCAGCATGGTCAGAAGCCACCAGCCCACCCAAGACTGAGTCTTTCTAGGTGTCAGCCCTGGGACATGACCAAGGGCAGCAGCCGTCCAGTCTCTCAAGCTTTGTCTTCAAAAGACATGTCACTCAGGCAATTAAAATAGATGGTATCGTAAGTACTAGTTTTGCCACTGAGCCCTGTGAACTCCCTTCCCCCTGACAATGAGGTCATTACCGTGTTCCAGTCCAGTTGGGCAGATACCCAATCCCAAGTTCCCAGCTTTGAGGGACTGTTTCCCAGGAGGTCATTCCTGCCATTAAGAACAATGTCAGTCAGTGGAGAGTCAGGGAAACGGAAACTGCCCAGGTGCTTCAGACAGAGGGGGCTTCCTCCAGGGGACTGGTTATGGAAATTGCTGGGAGGGTGAGAGGAGCAGGAAGGTGAGATTACCCACAGACCAGGACACGCGAAAAGCTGCGGCTGCACAGAGGCTGCAGGAGTCGGAGATGTCTCGGGGTCACTGGGCTGCCAAGCGTGCTCCTGGTGGGGCCTCACTGCCTGAAAAAGACCCAGGAGTATGTGCCTGCTGGTCCCTGTTGTCACCACCACTAAAAACACCCCCAAGTTCAAAAACTTTCCTTACTGCCTTCTAGTCTCCTGTGCTTCCTACCAGTAAAAACTATTAGGTCGTTAAATATGAAATGTCCTATTTCGAATCAAAAGTGTAGTTTATTATATCTCAAACAAGAAGCAGTACGATTAATGGAAGTATGCGCCTAAACTATCGACACAGTTTTGCCATCTTAACGGTAGTTCATTTATGCCAGCAGCGAAGAAACCTGGAGAGCGAGTGGCCATGAAATCACGAAAGGCGTTTTCCACAGCTTGTTGAGTATTTTCTCCTGCAAGAAGTGGTCCAAAGCCTGGAAGAAGTGGTAGGCAGTTGGTGCAAGGTCTGGTGAATATGGTGGATGACAGAGTTTCCAAGTCCAGCTGCTGTAGTTTGAGCAGCGTTGTTGGTGAGACACATGGTTGAGCGTTGTCTTGGAAGAGGATCGGGCTGTCTCTATTGACCAATCTTGGCTGCTTAATCGCAAGCATCCTCGTCATTTCATCCAATTGGTTGCAGGAGACATCTGCTGTCATTGACTGACCAGGTTTCATGAAGCTGTAGTGGATAATACCAGCGCTGGACCACCAAACAGACACCATTAGCTTTTTGTGATGACTCTTCAGTTTTGGACCGTGTTTCAGCACTTTATCTTTATCCAACCATGGTGCTGAACACTTGCGATTATCAAAAAGAATCCATTTTTCATCACACGTAACAATATGATGTAGAAATGGTTCCCCTTTATGTCGTGACAGCAAAGAAAGGCAAGCTTCGAGACGATTTCTCTTCCGATGCTCATTTAATTCATGCGGAACCCATCTGTCCTGCCTCTTCACCTTGCCCATTTGATTCAAATGGTCCAATATTGTTGGAATAGTAATATCAAACCTTGCTGCTAATTCACATGTAGGTTAAGATGGATTCGCTTCCACTACGGCTTTCAGCTCATCATTATCCATCTTGGTCTCAGGTCACCCACATGGCTCATTTTCAAGATTATAATCACCAGAACAGAACTTCCTAAACCATCAACGTACTGTGCATTCATTAGCCACATCCTTCCAAACACTTCGTTGGTATTTCGAGCTGTCTGCACTGCATCGGTTCCACCATGGAACTCATCTTCGAAAATAGCATGAATGTTTGACTTATCCATGGTTTCACAAAATTTGCTCTAAAAAAATTTTTGAAAGATAATTGCAAGCCAAACTGTGCATTTGAAAGACTGAGGATGTACCTTCACACTGAACATAAAACAAGAAGTGTCAAAGTGAAATGTCAGAGGTATCAACTGTCTAACTTAGTACTTAAGGAAATCAGACATTTCCTATGTAATAACGTAGTACTCGGAAGCCGCTGGTAAAGGGCTCCCAGCTCCTCTGTGATGCAGAGCAGGGAAGGAGATCCGGCAGCCAACAGACAAACAATGGGTATAAGCAGGAGTATTCTCACCTGCTGGGGGTGACGTGACAGAATGCCAATCCGTGGGCCCTGAGGAAGGAGACAGAGCGAAAGAAAATGGCAGGCCCCACAGCCGGGCAGCCTGAGCAGGCACACCGTGGACTGGAGCGCCGGAAGCGAAAGCTTCCTTGTCTTGGGAGGAGCTTGTCTGAGGGTCAAGGGAGACACTTACAGCCATTGAACACGGAGTGGGTGGGGTAGCCGGCTGGATGAGATCCAGTAATTTTCTGAATTAGGGAGAAGGTGGAGCCTGCGAGGTCAGGGAGGGGCCGTGAGAGGTCGATTGGGAAGGCTGTCCTGGCTCGGGAGGAGCTCGGTGCTGGAGTCAGTCACATGTGAGACGTGGGGAGATGCTGAGGTGGGGTGGAGTAAACTTCCCCATGGTCGCTCTGGAATCTACAATAAGGGGCGTCATGGAAAGCCAATGTATTGCTGCTTTATCTGCCAACGAAGACAAGTCCACGTAGAGGCTGTGGACTAGTCCAAAACACAGGTTGTCTCGTTTAAAGGAGAAGGGGCCTGGCTTGGGCAGAGGCTGTGCAAGTGCGGGGCCCTGGCCGATGGACCAGAGACGTGGCCTTCACGCAGCTGCTATGGAGCGCTGTGCAGCGTGGGCAGGTACCTCCACCTGTTTGTGTTTCCCAGTTTGTGAAATCAAAATGCTGCCAGATGTCTCACCTACCTCACCGGTTTGTCGTAAGGACGACACCAGCTATAAAATGAGCTATAAAAAGTGAGCTGCTATTATTATCAAACCATCTTCGGGTTGCTCACCACACCCTCACATGATCAACTTGGCCCAGTTTGCCTAAGACTCTCCCAATATTAAAACTGAAATTTCTGTGTCCTGGGAACCCCTAGTCCCAAGCAAACCAGGACTGCTGGTCACCTCTCTGCACTCCTGCTCTGTGTGTTGAATCAGGCACTGGCCAAGTGAGCTTATGGAAGGGAGGGCCTTATCCATTCATTTCTCTGCCGCCAGGACTTTCCTGGGCCTGGAGTCAGTGCTCTGCAAAGTTTTGATAACAAATGACTCTCCAAGCCTGCCAGGTAAGCTCACCACTCTTGCTGTTGTCATCCTCCACCACGGACACTAACATAAAAGAGGGCCATCTATGCTTTTCCCAGACTCACACTGTAAGACTAGGGGACCAGTGAGGAGTCCTGCTCACATCTGTGGGTAGTAGGGGTGTGCTCAGGGTTTCCTGGGACTGTTGCTCATGCTCCATGTCCGGGGCAGAGACATTGATGGGGCTGAATAGATTAAGGCTCCTCAACGACATCCTGTGGGGAGAGCAGCTGGTTGCATTTTTGGCTAATGACTGGGCTTTTCTGCTACTAAGCCCTGCTAGCCAGGTCTCATCAAGTGGAGAATGTCTGCAGAGAGGATTTTTGGAAGGGATTGTTTCAGCTGTCTATTGCTGCACAACAAGCCACCCCAAAACACAGGAGCAGCAAACCACAGCAGTTTTTTCTGCTCATGAATTCTGTGGACCAGGAACCCAGAGAGGGCACTTTGGAGAGTGCCACTCCTCCCAGCAGCTTGGGCTTCCTCACAGCATGGTGGCCTCAGGACGCTCAGACTTCAGTGGCAGTGCAGGGAGCTGGCCAAGCGAGGATGTTCCCATCTCCCTGGAAACTTCCCCAAAGTCCACATGGCCTGGCACTGCTTCCAGCCAAGGGTTTCTGGTTATCTCAGTGAACAGGGCGGAGCCTACATGGCCTTTTATAAGCCAACCTTGGAAGTCACCCTGCACTTCCTTCATACTCTATTGACCGAAGCAGTCACATGTGCCAGGAGGGGACACAGGCACCATCTTGATGGAAAGAATGTGGAAGAGTTGTGGCCACGTTTTGAAACCACCACAGGGTGCTGGGGCACAAGAGTCCTGGTGCCTGGGAAAGGGGAACGAGAGTGGAAGGAAGTGGACGGGTGAGGGACAGAGATGTAGCTGCTGTCACAGGGCCTGGGATTTTGGAGGAAAAGCTGTGCAATGCGTAGCATTGCCATCCTCATCCATCTCCCTGGGAACTTCCCTAAAGTGCACATGGGTTGTCACTGCTTGTTATCTCAGTAATGTGACATACAAGACCGGCTGCAAAGGTGCCTGCCAGGTAAGGGCTACTCCATGAGGGTGGCAGTGTGGGGCCCCAAGATGAAGGAGCAGACGGCTGGAATTTGAGCTTCAATTCACGGGCCACACACATTGCCCGACCACATGCCGAGGTTGCATTTTTTATCAACTACGCTATGGGCTAAATTGTGTCCCTGCTCTCCCCAACCCCTGCCAATTCAAATGTCACAATCCTAAGAACCCAGTACCTCAGAGATAGGGGGTTTGAGGAAATTAAGTTAAAATGAGGTCATGAGGGTGGGCCCTAAGCCAATCTGACGGGTGTCCATGTAAGAAGAGGAGATGAGGACAGACACGCAGAGGGGTGACTGTGTGAAGACAAAGAGTGGACGCCGTCCGCAAGCCAAGGAGAGAGGCCTTGGAAGAAACTAACACTGCTGACGCCTTGGTCTCAGACTTCTAGCGTCCAGAACCCTGTGAAGCGAACTTTCTGCTAAGTACCAGGCTGTGGCACTCTGGTGCAGCCGCACAAGCCAGCACGGCAGTGGCGCCGCCAACCTGACAACAGTGAGTCACTGATCCACAAATGTGGGATGCTTTCACATTTATTTAGATCTTAATTTTTTTCAACAATATTTTGTAGTTTTCAGAGTATTTTGTTTGCACCTTTTTAGTTAAATTAACCTCAAGTATTTTATTCTTTTTGATATTATTTTAAGTGGAATTGTTTTTTAATT